CGAATTCGGGACTCTCAGCTGGCAGGGCGTCGTGGATTGAAAGCGGCCCGTCAGCCTCGAGTGTCGGACTTGGGAATTGGCAGGAAATTATCGGTCGGCATCAGCTGGACCGTAGATTGGCCGGGGTCGTTGTTGAGGAGATGGGGTATGTATTGGGGCGTCGAATTGAAGGAGTCGGGTTGTCGTCGCACGGCGGCGGTACGGTGCTGAGCAATACTAAATAAGTCGGGTAATGAATGGTCGGCAGCTACTCGCGTGACTGGGTGACGACGGCAGGCCACGTCGCTGGGCACCGGGCTGAAGAAAAAGATGACGGATGTGGGAGAGTGAGAGTGGTGGTCGGGGTTGAATTTTGGGAGGTGAGTCGGTCGAGGCAAGGACTCGAAGTCGGGGACGGGGTCGGGGTCGGGTCAGGGTGAGGGTGACCTGAGCCTAAGAAGGTAAGGTAATAGGTAGGTAAGAAGAGCACCGCACCTACTTTGCTGAGGGCGTGGGTGCGGTGGTGAAGGTCGGGGGGATGGAGACCAGGTTAGGGTCGCTGAGGTCAGGTTGTGGTGGTGGTTAGGTCGTTACGGGCTGTATCCGAAGACCAGCGGCAGGGCAGGTAGATGCTGCGCGGTGTGCAAGGCCAGGAAGGCACTTGGGTGAGGGGACCGCGTACCGTGGGCTGGCTGCTGCACCTGGCTTGTGGCAGTGGGCGGCAGGCGGTGGGCAGTGGAGCACGGCGTCGTTGTTTTGGAGCTGAAATCAGCGCCCAAGACGGGAAGGAACCACAACGACAACGCAGACGAATGGGGGAAGGAGCAGCCACCCAGAAGAAGAAGAAGGAATGGGAGAAAAGGCTGGCGATGAGGAACTTGAGGAAGAAAAATAAAGATAAAAGGTAGGACGAGGAAACAACAAGGTCCTGTCTGAAGCGACGGCGACTGGGCAGTATGCGTTGGGTAAGGTATGCGTGTGTTGTCAACCGCGGGGGAGACAGAGAGAGGGGGACAAGTGCAAGCAAGCAAGTTGCAGCGGCGGCGGCGGCTGGTGCAGATGCGGGTTTAGGCGCAGGCGCAGGTGCAGGCGCAGGTGCAAGAGTGTGTAAGTGCAGTAGGCACCACGGGCAGCCCAGGTAGAACCCAGGAGGCAGACGGGAGGCGGGAGTTCAGAAACAGCACCAGCTGAAGCTGAGCGAAGGAGAAAAGGGGCCGGTCTAAGGCGATCAAAGGAGTGTGGGCGAAGGCGCGAGAATGGTTTTGTTGTGAGGCGTTCGTTGCTGGCCGTAGGGAGATTTAGTGTGGGCTCGATCGGCTGCACCCAAAACTTGGGCAAATCCCAAACCCGGCTGTGCACAGTGGTGCCGTCTAGGAAGGGACCAATGGGCCTTACCAAGGACCAGTGACCAGTGACGGAACCTTCTCTGCTATCCTATCCGAACCCAAGGCACCTTAATTACCTACCTGCCTTGGGATACGTAGCAGCCGGGAGGGGACCTGCTTTGAGTGGGCAGGCGATGGGGGGAGAGATAGGACGGGGTAGGAGCATAAAAAATGAAGGTGCCTTTCTTACCTAAGATAGGTACTTCGGTCTGCTCTTGCCTCCGACCACTGCTTCAAGAGAGGGGAAAAAAAAAAAAAAAAAAAAAAAAAAAAGGATGATGGCGGTGCACCAACTTTCTGCTGTGCCTTGCCGTGCCCTGGCCGTGTGGTTGTGTACAGGTAACGGCCGAGACAAAAGTATAGACGGTACGGCGTAAGGCAGATGCAGAGGCAAGTAAGGTACTAAGGTAGACAGACGGGCGGGAAGGTAAGGCGAGGAAAGCAACGCAAAGGCAGGGGGCACACGGGACGGAAATGGGAGGTGAGTCTGTCTCTCTACCGGTTTTTTATTTTATTTTTCCTCGTCTTTTTTTCTCTTCGGGTGCAGATTGGAGGTGCAAGGTGCAAGGAAGGCATGCTAATTACTCCTCACTGCCGTAGGGCGCTAATACAGGGATCGACGTCTCGATGCACTTTTTGGGTTCTTCAGAGACGCTGTCTTGTGCCGTCGACGACGAGAGGGACGTCTTACTTACGGGCCGCGAGTTACGACACGGAATAATCCAATATATCTCAACAGGGCAGGCTCTCGCTCGGAACTCTACAGATACGGGATGCAGAAGACAACCACAAATACTAAATAGCGCATGGTCAAGCCCACATCCCATCTCGTGATCTGAGATGCCTTACCCCAAGTCGGGAACCTTATGAGGGCGTCGTGCTTCCTTCCTTTTCCCGTATTCCCTCTATTGAGCATGCCCCCAAAGAGGGGAAACTGCGGCGGAGGACAGAGCCCAAAAGGAAAGGGCCGCCCATCATCGATCAAAGTGATGCCTGCCTGCTGGGGCCTTTTACATTGGGTCCCGTCTACGGTCATTCGTGGCTCGTTTGGTCCCCGTGTCGGCGGGGATGGGGCTCTTTCACACTCCCACACACACTCTGTCTCTCTCTTTTTCTCCAGAGTCTCTAGTATATCTCGGGCTAGCTCTCTCTCAGTGGACATCCGCCTGCTAGGTAGACGAGACCTGTGACGATCGGGATGCTATTTACGATTGCTACGGCCAGGACGAAGGAGTGGAACTCCCCCCGGTCTTGTCAACCTCACCGCGTCCCGAGCCCCTTATTGGTGATTCGCCAGGGGGACGGTGCACGGCCCACCCAAACCTGGGCGGCGGAGAAGATGTGCCCAGCCCAGTCGTCTTCACTGCATTTTTGGCCTCTTGGCCGCCCAGCCAGCTTGGCTTCTCGACACCTCCTGTTCCTGAGGTTATTGAGGTTCCTGAGGGAAGGACATCGGATCACATGCGTCATCACGTGGCTACATCGGGCTGATCTTCGGGCGTATCCAATGTCTTTCCTCCTTGAGATGATCTCGAAACGGCCCCACCAAATTTTGATATACGAGTTTACTTTAGATAAACGCCGATGCAAGCTTCGGGAGAAATTGGTTCCAGAGTGACATTGTTACCGCAATCTGTTGATCTCCAACGGTCTCGCTCCACCCAAGGCATCCCCCCTCCCCCTCAGAACCGAGCCCTCGCCAGAGTTTATGCAAACTCCATCGCGACCTTCTTTCTCAGCGCTTTTGCGTTTTGCACCGTCTTCTCCTGCTCATGTCGCCCTGACTTCTTCGCACGCTTCAATCTCTTCTTCCGCGTTTGGAGCATCTGAGCAAACTCGGCCCGGCTGGCGGGTCCACCCGTTATCATGTCATCTGATGGTCTGCGAGAGGCTTTGGCCCAGAAAGCTGCCTTGCTGAGCTTCGTTGTCTGATGTTCGGGAGTTGAGCTCGCGCATTGCTCAACATGTGCCTTGGCCTGGACTGGGGTCATTGTCAGCTTCCTGGCCCGACCTTCGGCGGTCGAGTCTCGATAAGGCTCAAACGAGGTCATGAATTGGGGCGACGTGAGGCTGCGGGCTGCCTTGACCCCTGCTTTGGCTCGCGGTCGTGCATCGCTCTGTTCCTTCCGTGGAACATGAGCTCTGGTCTTTACCGATGGTCCGTCATTGCCGTTGTCGTTCTTGGCGCGCTGCCCTTGCTTGGCTGCATTGCCTGCGTATGTGTAATCGTAGTCAGCGTTGCAACTGGCATCACGTTGCTCTCTTTTCTCACTCTGGCTGGTTTTCAGACTCTTTCTCGAGCTTTCTGCTCCCGCGCAAGAGCCCGATGAGACGCACTTAGCCATGTTGTCAGCGTCGCTACCCCTACGGTGGTTATCTCTGTTTCGTGAAGCCTTGTCTGTGGTGCTCTGCACATTGTTTCCATCGCCAACGCCGTCTTTCGGAGTTGGTCTTTCGGCCTCGAAAAGCTCTGGCAAGATCTGCCTTGCTCTTTCCCGCCACTGACAAACAGCAGGCTTGATGAAGCGGTGCCACTTGGGGCACACTTCGAATACACATTTACCTGTTGCCACGATCGTGATTCGGTATCTCTTTCGCACCATGCGGTCTGTGACTGCCGGGCCCGGCTTCCAATTGGTGAGAGCCAACTCGTGGGGGTCAACTCTGTCGCATGCTCTGATGAGACGGTGATCCTCAGGTGTCAGTAGATGAGGCACAGCATGATCGTGGACCTGCGCCCAGTCCCGAATTTTGCTGGTTAGCGCAAGAAATGCCAGCCGATCATGATGTCTCGAGGGGTGGCAGTCGTTTTCCATCTTGTGGTTGTCCTAGATCCGATCTGCTAAGTCGTTTTGGGTCTGTAAATCTGGTACTGGCTTGCCAGCTGAGTTGAAGACTTGATGAGTTAGTTGAAAGAAGGTATGATGTGGAGAGAGAACTCTCTACGAAGCACTGTCTTATAAGAAAAAGAGAGGGATGGCTGACTGATAGCCTGTTGGATGGGAAAGACCACTATCTCGAGCCGCGCTTGCGTATTTACTATTTCATTTCAGCAGGAAAGAGCGTACATTTGGATGGCAGGAGGCTTTCAATAACTCGCTCAACATGTGATGGTAGTCGCTCGGCCAAATTTCGAGTTGGAGTTGGTGACGGACAAAACTTACGTCGCCCAATACATGAAAATCAAGACATAGCAGCACATCAAAGAATATGATGTCTCTACATATTCGATGATTCAATTTTCAAGACGGCCTCAGCCATCGTTGATACCTTCAATGATAACTCTCCCATGGACTCTTTCTTGCGGCAGAACCTCCTCGATCAACCCAAGTGGACCCGCTGATAAGGATATCCCCAGATACCCTCACTATCTCCGCCGGCAAACCCGTCTCCATCATCCAACTCCTCAGCAGGAAAACCCCCCTTTTAGCGTCCAGTCCCATAGAAATATCATCAACCTCTCAAAAAGAAAAGGAGACCTCCGGCATAGCTCTGCAAGTGTTCTTCGTGGTTTATTGAAAATCAAAACGTGACACGCGCAACTTTTCCAAAACTACATACCCCGCCCCCACCTCCCTCATATTTCCAAACTAACTCGAGCGCCACCTTCCAACGCGACCGCAGCCGCCAGCCACGATGAACGACGCAGAGGGCCTCGCCATCGCGATCGAGGAGGCCAAGATTGGCGCCTCCGAAGGCGGTGTTCCCGTACGTGCCGACAAATGACGGTGTCAGAGCAACGCAGCAATTCATGAACTGGTAGACTGACGGGATCGACCATCAAGATCGGAGCAGCCCTGGTTTCCGCGGATGGTAAGCTCCTCGGCCGGGGCCACAACCGCCGTGTCCAGATGGGCTCTGCAATCCACCATGTAAGTCGAAACCTCCTATTTGATCCAATGTTCCAGTACTAAACAAAGAATCACTTCCAAGGGCGAGACGGACGCTCTCTTCAACTCTGGCCGTTTGCCAGGCAAGACATACAAAGGTGAGCATTTTCCAAGACCCTCTCCGACTCCGTCTGCTGCATGGACACTGACTTGCGCTAGGAAGCACAATGTATACGACACTCTCGCCCTGCGACATGTGTAAGTCTACAACCCTCACAAGACTGCCGTGAACACCCGAGTTCCTCACATCAATCGTAGGCACCGGCGCCTGCCTCCTCTATGGCATTTCTCGCGTTGTCATCGGCGAGAACAAGACTTTCCTCGGCGGCGAGGAGTATCTCAAGCAACGTGGAGTGGAGGTCGTAGTCGTCGATAACGCAGAATGCAAGGCTCTTATGGACAAGTTTATCGCCGAGAAGCCTGAAGTATGGTAAGAGTTTATTCAAGCCCTAGCATGATAGGACCGGGTAGGCTGACACAGACAGGAACGAGGATATTGGCGAGGAGTAAGTCTGGTGTGGTTTGCAAATACATTCGATCAACGTCACTTTGTGTAGGACAGCTTGGGGCTTCTTGAATGCGGATTCAATATTGATATCATTTGCCGCTTCTATTCAACCATATCTAACAAAAAGTGCTTCACGGGATTAATTGTGCCACCCATATATTCCCGTGGTCTCAGTCACTTGCTATCATCACACTTCCGGTCCGCACGAGCAAGGGCATATTTGCATCTTCTACACAGACAACCCAGGCTAGACGCGTTGCCGTTGATTTCCTAAAGACCAATACAGGCCATCTTCCAACGCCTGGCCCGTCTCAAAATGCTTGATTCGCTGAAAAGACTCCTGAAATTGACTTGATGGTGATCGCCGCCTAAGAAAGCAAATTGCGCAATGAAGGACTCGTGCTTGCGCCCGCCGGCCGGGGAGGCTCGTTCGTTGGCCGCATGCCCGGAGTTCTCAGAGGGCCTCCCGCGTCATGTCCCGGAGGGCTACTGGCGTACGGCGCTCGTTGGGGCAACAGTCCTCGCGAAAATGAGTCGGGGCCTCTTTGGGGCGGTCCGCCGTTGGGAATTCCATGTGGTGGCGCATGTGCGTCCTGCCGATAAGGGTGCATATACGGTGGTCCGTGAGTAATAGGGCCTGCCATGAGAGGAGAAGGCGGCATTCCGTGTGGCGCTGGCTGGCCCATATGCCCGTTTGGAACACCCGTCGGCAATGGAGGGTGCGTCTGTGGTACGGCCATCGGAGGCGGGCGCAGAGTAGACAGAGGTTGGAAAGGCGGATGTCGCTGAGGCGGCGAGTTGTGTTGAGGAGCGCGACCATGCCAGTCGTACCTTGGCCCCGGAGGTGGATGGCCATACGGGCCAGAAGGCTGGTGAGTCGCTGGTGGCGGTATAGGAGGAGGTGCCGGGGCCTGGACCGGTGGTGGCGCTGTAGGAGCCGCCGGGGGATGTCCTGCGGGCTGGGAGACAGGTGCAGACGGAGGCGGGGGCGGGGGCGGAGGCTGTACCGGGACATTGGCGGCAGCGGCGGCAGCAACAACCGGAGCTGGTGCCGGGGCCACCCAGGCGTATGCCGAGAGACTGCGCGCTCTAGCCTCTGGGCCGGTCGTCGGAGGGCTTCTCAAAGCCGGCGGGGGTGCAGCAAGAGCATGGTGTGGCGGAACCACTGGGAGCGGCGGAGGCACCACTCGTGCAGCTTCAACGACGGGAGAAGGATCCTTCGGTGGATGGGGATTGGGCTTCCGCTTGGCCTTACGGCACTTGTGGCATTGGAACTTTCTTTGCTCCACGAACTTTTGAGCCTCCGATCCGAGACTTCCATAGTGGCCATTGGTAAGCTCTCGCTCGTCAGAATTCTCAATAGGCCACCACTTGAGGCTGACATCAATACCGCAAGTAATGCAGATCTTCTCTCCAGCCTGGTGATCGTGGGCTGTCTCGCTGTTTGCTTGGTGGGAAATACCATTGACTGGGAGAGTTGTGGTTGAGGCTCGTCGAGCACCCGGAGTGACAGGCACACTGCCCATCTTCGCAGCATTTGTCATCAGGTTGGCCTTCCGCACAGTACCAGTCAGAGTGAGATCGGCCTGCTTGTAGCTTTGGACGTAGAGCTGCAGGGCATTGAGCCCATCCTCGTTGACAATGTCGTGCATTCGGTGGACGATGGACTTTGTTGGAACATGGTCCTTGCACCAAACTGTCGCGGACATGACACCGCTTTCGCCGTTAATAGTCACCAGGTTGAATTGGTCTCTGCGGGACCCCTTAACGGGCGTAATGTCAAATCCAAGGAGGTAGCCCTGCTGGCGAGCGCATTCAACATGAACTATGAGACGGTTGTTAGACAAGCTCATCAGACAAGGGGCTTTAGAAACATACCAGGATTGCGACAGTTGTGGCAGGCAACGCAGGCACCTCCTTTGTGGCTACAGGCCTTGCAGACTTCATCATACCTCACGCGAGGAATAGAAGGAATGCCCTCAGAGGGACTAAGAGCCTTGGCGTTGCCAAACTTGACTTCGGGTGTCCAGACAGCACAGGTGACATGCACCCAGTTGTTGTCGGCGGTGCGCTTGAGGGGCTCCCGAGGGTTGACTGGTCGGTTCGTTTCCTCCTGCTTCTTCCGGTAGTAGTCGGCAGTTTTCTGTGCTTGTTCACGTTCAAGCCTCTCCCGCTCCTTTTCTTTCTCTGACTTCTTCTTTGAGGTAGAGACCTTGGGCGGCTCAACAAAGTCATGTTCTGTATGCTCAATAGGGCACAGAACACACTTGTATTGCTGTTGGGAGTCAATATCATGCAGACTTCTGACAAGTAGGGAGTATGACTTACGATAGAGATTTGAGGATTCTTGTCGTTGACGCACATATCACAAGCCCATTTACCAGGGTTCCTATTGTCAACAACACCATAGCAGTTGCGATGGACCGTCAAGCGACATTCCTTGCAAGACAGATGCTGATCTCCCAATGGCTCTAGTTGGTTGCAAATCGCGCAAGGCATGGTCCGCGCCTTGGGAATCTCGGGAGCTGGCGGGGGCGCAGGCTTCTCGGCAGCCTTCTCCTTCTTCTTCGGGTGGCTGGGTGCAGAGTCGGACGCCAATGGCTCTGAGTCTCGGTCGGGGGCGGCTCCCTTGAGCTTCTTGCGTGGCGGCTCGCTGGAGGGTGCGGCGACGGCGGCTGCAGGTGGCTCTGGGGTGTTGACGGGCGGCGGCGTGTTCCAGTAGGTGTGCATTTCCTTGGCGGCCTCGAGCTCCTTGAGTAACTCCTCATCTTGGCGTTTCTTCCAGGCTTTACCACCAGCTTGCGCGATCTTCTTCGCAACCTCATCGACATCCTCCCACTGGATGGCATAGCGCCGCCACAGCTCTGCGCACCTGCGGCAAAGTGCCTGGATGTACTGGCCGCCCTTGTCCTTGTTTGAGGATTTGCCTCCAGTCTCAGTGACTGGCGTTCCAGAAGCGTTCGGAGCTCTCCTCCACTGTCGGGAATACTTTGTGTGACAAAATTTGCAACAGAAGCCCTTCTTCTTGGTCTGGGCCTTTTCGGCGTCGAAGGCTGAATCGTCAGCGTCGTCGGCAATGTCGTCCTGCAATTTGCTCGCAGCCTGTTCCGCCCTTTTGGCCTCCTTCTTGCTCTTCCTGTTCTGGAAATTGCCCCAAATCTGTTTGCCCTGGGGCGTCTTTTTCCACGTGTAGTAGTAACGGACGATTGTGCCTGGCGAAACAGACTTGACGTGCCGCTTAACCAGATAGAGCTCAGATCCATACTTGCTCACACCCTCTTCGAACCTCTTCTGCTCAGTAGCGGTCAGGTCGGGCTCCTTGAAGGCTGATTTGTCGGTCTCTGCAAATAGTTTGAGGGCTCGGTCCGAATTATAGCCGCTGTTGAAGTACGTCTCCAGGGCCACATCGTGCAGGTTAGTGGAGTTCTTGGGAAGATTGAACTTGGGTGCCTGCTCTTCAGCCTTTTCCATGTACTTGTCCAGCTTATCTTCCCAGCCCTGGTTGGCTTCCGTATCCGCAGGAGGCATCCAAACCCGTGTGGACGTCGCATTCGGGTCATCACTGTCGAGATCCTCTCCTCTTGCCACATAGCCGGGGGGTTCGTCCTGCACCCACTTCGGCCGATTTTCGCGTTTGAGCTTCTCTTCCTCCAATTTTGCCTGAGCTTCCTTGGAGAGATTAGGTCCCTTCTTGCCCTGCCTCCTAGTCTCCAGAGGCTTCTGATACTGCACGGGCTGACCAGGCCAGGGGAGAACGTTGGCTTGATGCTTCGGGCCAATGCGGGTGCTGGCGCGTGGGTAAATGCGATCATCGTAATCCAGTGCATCCTCAGGCTTGCAGTGCATTCCAAGATATCGCCAAGGCCAAAGACTCGCTTGGTAAATCTGCTCAGCCGTGCCGGTGCGGTGCTCGTCGTCGTCGGCGAGACTGGTTCGTTCGGTGTCGATTTGCATTTCATCGTCATCATCATCATACAAATCATCGTCGTCGTCGCCGGCGGGATCCAGCAGATTTGGCGTGTGGCGAGCCTCCAACTTGCGCTCCTGCGCGCGGCTGCATGCAGCACAAGACCAGGCGAAACCTCTTGAGGGCTTCTTCAACAGCGGTGGCCTGACACAATTCATGTGATATGTCTTCTTACACACAGCACAGTCGACCGAGTCATTGCTGTTGCACTATTAGTGACCCCAGGTCCCTCTCTCGGACTCAAACGGCGAAATGGGTGGACCAACCTTGCACAGTAGCCGCTGCATCGCTTGCAGGACTTCACCGCGCTAGTGAACTCTTTTCCGCGGCCCTGCTCCACAATAACGAATTTCCAGCGCTCGTCCAACACTTTCTTCACCCTTTCGGGGACGTTCACGATGGTGGACGTGGGGATGAGGTCGTAATTCTTCTGGATGTAGCGGTCGTACAGCTTCTCATACCAGAAACAATCTGACTTTTTCCGGTACTCGTCCATGTTGGGAATCTCAGCCTTATGCTTGATATGACATTTGCCTCGCAATGCCGTCAGAGGACTGATGTCGGAATGCATCGTCGCAAACACTAAGCGAGTGTCGTTGACCTTTTTTCCAATGTCCTTTGGTCTGTAGAACCAATTGATGCGAAGTGCATCCACCGGCTTGGTGTTGTCATTCTGCGTGTGGAGAAACTCCATGATGCGGCCTAGGTAGTAAGGCTCGCCTGGGGGCTCACACACGAGGTAGACGTTGTCTGTGATGCGGATCAGCATGCCACCCTCCCGAAAAAAAACCAAATGCGCACAAGGATGGGTGTGTGGTTTGTTGGTGTCTTACCATTTGGTGCTAGTACAGTCCCGTCATCCGCCACCAACTTTCCATCCTTGGGGTTCGCGCCACAACTCTCGAAACTGAGCATGTTCGTCTCTGCATATGAGCTGGCGTAGGGACCTGACGCGGCTTTTCGCGATGCAGCGGCGGATGGTGCTGCCTGTGCCTGTGATGCAGCTTGAGAGGTGGCCTTGCGCTTTTTGGTGGGCTGCGTCGTCGCCGATGAGCTGGATGTTTGTGCCGTCGGAGCTGGATTGGCGGCGGGCTGCGGATCCTTGGCACCATTTTGTGAGGAGACGGCCTTGGTGTCGTCGGATGTGAGAGCTTTGCGGGATGGGCCGTTGGAACGCGGAGGCTCCTGTGCGGAAGTCGCTGACACGTTACTGTGACGCGCCGATTTTTTGGACTCCTGATCCTTCTTTTCGGGGAAGTCGTCGTACATGTCAACGTCGATGTCTCTGTCTTCGGCGTAGTTGGGGCGCGAAGATCCAGTGCGATTCCGCGAGCGCGTTCCGTAGGGGTTGGCCGCCTCCATGGCGGCGTCCTTGGCAGCAAGGTCTGAGCCAGATGATGATGACTTGGCCATGGGTTGAGATGAGTTGCGCAGAGCAGCATCAAGCTCAGTCAGATTCGCCTTCTGGGCGGCGGAGGATGCCTTGGAGGTTGATGCGCCCGACGTTGAAGGTTGCGCGGAATCCGAGGCGTCTTGAGCGGATGGGGTGGCGCTGGCAGATTGGTCCTCAGAACTGCTAGCATTTTGTGTTTTCTGCGCCATTGTTCTTGTGGCTAGCTGCGCGATGGCAGAAGGCAGGTTGATGATAGTCGGGGCCCTTCCCGCAAAAAAGGTAGAAGCAAGAGGGCCGACAGGTCGAAGCTCGTCTCTGGAGGAACGAAGGGGAGGCTCCGAGCCATACGACGACCGATCGAAAGAGAAGTCGACAGCTAGTGATGCAACGCGACGGGCGATGGAAACCAGATGGAGCCCATGAGACGGCTACGAGTCGGAGACAGACTCGAGCAGGAGGGTACTGTGATATTCAAATGATGACAATGTTTGGATATGACCAAGTCCTGCAGGTAGACAGCGAAGCCGAAGAGGGCGGGTGCGCGTGAGTGTGGGATATGGATGCGTATGCTTGTGTGGATGGGATGTATGCGTGTGGACGAGAGTGAGTGTGAGTGTACTCTGTAGAATAGGAAAAGGGAAGGGTGAGTGTGTGTTGTGAGAGGACGATGGGCTGTGAGCGGAAGAAAATGACAGCCGAGCGTCAAGATGGAAGGCGGCGCGACCAGGGAGAGGTGAAGCTGGGTGAATTGGGTTGAGTTTGAAGATGGTGAAGATGGGCAGGGAGGAAGTGATGTGGAAAGATGGAAGGAGAAGAGGAAGACGGGGCCGGGTCCAGACAAGCGGAAGACAAATGCTAAGGCAAGGAAAGTACGGTGCCGGCGTGGAGGTGTGGGAAAAGGCAGGCAAGGTACCTCACGGCAAGGCAAGGCCAGGAAGAGGCAAGGTACTGCGGCAGAGGTAGAGAGGTAGAAAGAGGTAAAAGGTAGGTATGGAGAAATAAAGGTAAGGCAAGGTAGGTAAGGATGGATGGAAAGGAACCAAAGACGTGCGGCCGTGACCGCGGCCGTGGACGGGAAACGTCGACGAAGGTCGCGCTCGCTCGCTGCAGCCAATACCAGCTACCTACATTACCTACCTTACCTTACCTTGCCTTCCATTGCCATATGTACACCACTCACCACATTACTACTACGGATACTACTACTGCATAGTACCAGCTCCGATTCCCACTCCCAGCTCCCAGCTCCCAGGACCACGACCACGACCAGAATTGGATGGACCAAGACCAGGGACCAGGACAATGACAAGGGCCAGCACCCGCACCGCACTGCTGCACCGCTGCATATCTCTCTCTCTCTCTGCTGTCTGCTCTCTGCTCTCTACCTTACTCTCTACTCAGCGACTCTCTCCATGCCTCTCTGTCTCTGACTGCACCTGGCCCTGCCCCGATCGGCTTGTCTCTTCACCTTCGCTTTAGCTCATCAGCTGTCTTCCTGGCCCTGCCCTGTGCTGTCTTGCCTTGCCGCGCCCATGACTCCGGGCTCTGCTGAGGTGCTCTTCTGCTTTGCTGCCGCATATTGTGGCTCCTGCTAAGGCGACTATTTCAACCGCTGCCGCACCGCACCGCGCTGCATGGCAGCGTCAGGTCTGGCAGTGGCAGGTAAGGTAAAGTATGGGTCAAGTACCTGAGGTGTCCGGTACGTACCGGCCTATCAACAACAGATCAATGTTAAGCCAAGGCAATGCTTCTCCAGTCCCGTCTGGGCCTCAGAGGCGGCGGCGGCAGCAGTTGAAGGAATAGCAGAAAAACAGCAGCCAGGCCCGCGCTCTCTCTCTCTTTCTCTCTCTTTTTTCCCTCTCCTGCTGTGGGGCTGCGCGGGAGGTATCGATCTGCTGCAGGTCAGGATGCGGTACTTCCAGCCACACCCAAACCTCACCGTAGTCTGTGGTAACGATACATCGATGCAACCTGCATGATACCAGACCCACTCTGTACCTCTGTACCCGCTCCCACAGTCATCACTCTCGCACCAGACCAAGGGCCCGTCGACCTCACACCTCACCCCAAGGTTGCCAACGCCGCAGAATCCAACCACACACCCCCATGTCCATCTCACCTCTGTTCTCCTTCTATCAGATCGCCGCCATGCGCTCTTTGTGGGAGTTGGGGGGGATTGCCCTGACACATCCGACGCAGGCAATGGATGTTCCTTTCCCCTCTGGCCGACCGCATGTTTGGATTGTCTGCGTGAGGGCGGCAGCAGCACCATGTGTCTAGCCTTTCACTTTCGTCTCCTGCCATTAACCACATGGCCACGACTACTGAGAGGACTGCAAAGAGGGAAGGAAAGAAATGATGGGGGGAAAGTGTAAAGCGAGGATGCGCGTGTATACGGTGCCCCCAGCCTCCAGACCTGCTGCCCCTCCTGATGGCGCGCTCACCTGTTCTGCTCAATCGCTCTGTTTCTGATTCTGTCGCCGTCTCGCCGTCTCGCTGTCTTGCCGTCCCGCTCGCTCGCTTGCTGGGCGAGGTATTGACGTACCTTGACTGGGTCCTCCGTGCATACAAACCCTGCCTTGCCTTGCCTTCATCGGACATCAGACACCTTGCCCCGACCTCATGTCTTGCCATCGGCATCCCGATCTATGGGCAAATAAATTCAATGTCGGTCCCCAGCGTGTCGGAAGTCGTCAGTGTGTGTCCAGGTCGGAGGGCGAGGTGGCAGCAGGCTCAATTAACTTCACTCACGACGAAAAAACTAGGTTGACGACGTTGACGTTCAAACAGCCGGCCGGCCGGGGCTGGCTGGCTTCCATTGTTGGGTCTGGCCTGGGACGGGGGTCGGGGGTCTGGCTAGGTAGGCACGATGGCATGTACCTCGCCCAGTGTCTGTACAAGCCCTCCACCTCAATTGGCTATCTTTTCCTTTTCCTTTTCCCTACCTTACCTCAAGAACATTCGTACCTCACTCGCCCTTTGGCCAACAGCGGATATGCAGGCAAGCAGCTCGGCATTATTAAGGCAAGAAGAACCTTAGGTTGGTTGGGAGAGTGCGAAGAGGAAAACATCCCTGGAACTTGGGTGCAGAGACGATGGCCATGGCAAATGAGACGTTAAGGCGAGGAAGGCATTGCGGCGCCTGCGGTTGTCGCTCTTTCCACTCTGCCCACGCAGTTCCTACTACTGCCACGTCCGTCATATCCCCTACTTGCTACCCTACCTTACTTGCTACCTGTTACCTGCCTCGTTGGCCTCTCACGCGCTCGCGTGCACGATTGCCTCCCTCCACGTTACCAGACGAGCTGTCCACGTCCACGCCGTCTGCCTTCTCCCTCCCCCACCCATCTTGCTGCGCCCTATGTAGTGTTCTTTTCCCTTGCAGTTTTGACATCGCTAATTCTCCCAGCCAATGCTCTCCGCCGCCTACGTCTTCAGGTTTAAATACCTTGGTGCTGTCCGTCTTTTGGCAAGAGGATAAGGGCATCATACAATCACTGCAGCGATAGCCATAGACTTCACTCCAAGCCAAATGGTGCGCCTCAGTTCTGGAGGCACGGGATACCTTAAAGGTACATGCTCTGTTTGCCGCCGACACCACCATTCAGGTATCTCAGTCTTCGATCCTCCTCGATATCCGCACACGTACACACACACACACACACACCCGCACGTCGTGGCTTGCTGATGTGTTCCGCAGTGCCTCAGATGCATCCTTGCCGGGTCAAGATTTACCTGGCAGCATATCTGGACTCTTACTGACCTCACTTTCAGTGTCGACATGGGCTATATAGACTTCCCTATCCATGCTTCTATGTACCTTTTCGTCCTGTGTCCAAGCTGAAATGCGGAAACACCAGAGGCCATCGGCCAACCGTGCTTTGATTCAACTCGAGTCGACCGACGGTCGCCGCTCCCAAGTATGTACATAGTAATGTGTGCTGCTGCTGCTGGCTGGCTGTGTCCGGCGACTCGCCCACTTCTTCCTTCGATCCCCTTCCTTGGTTCGTCGCACCCCGGCTTGTCCAACCCTGTGGAAACGAAGTGCTCCCTACGGAGTAGGGATATGTCTACGAGATGTTGTCCACACCCCCGTCATTACCCATGTGTGTCGGTTCCAATTCCATCCCACCTTCTGCTAGCCCAGTGGCTCTTGGCCGCCCACCCAAATATTAACACAACACCACCCACCACTGTCGCGGCGTCTTTGCGTCTGTCCCCGTCTGGCCGGTTTGCTGTTGCTTGCTTAGTTCCTGCCTCGCCAGTGCCAAACTTTGAGCCGTTCCTGCGCGTCGACCCAAGTTGGTCATGCAATCCATATCGATCGCTCAAACAATTCTGCGGGTTGTTCTGAACAGTACACTCTGGTCGTTGACCGTTCACTCGGCCTCTCGCGCGATCGTCTCCGTCTAACACAAGCGAGGAATGGGTAACGGGAGGTGCCTCGGGGCGGGTGCACCCCATGCAGACACGGTTCCTGCCTAGCCTGGTAATTATTCGATAGCACTTCATCTGGGTACCTTCTCTTTCACTTCTGCTTCAGCCATGAGCATGGCTTCGGATAAGGAGCACCATTGGCCTTCTGCTCTCCCTTACCACCCTTTCTTGCAAATAAATTTGGTGGTATGTGAGCCCTGCCAACGTTTATATGCACGACATGGGGAACTCCAATTCCGGAGCATATCACTGCGCGACCACTCCCTCCCACAGCCCGCCCGGATATCGGTTTTTTGACGCCTTTTTTTTTCTTTTTTCTCTGGTCTTCTGTTGCAGGCTGTTTTGCCCCCGTCCACAGGCTTCCCCTCCTCTCAATTTGAACAACATCTCTTGGCGGAGCTTTCGTCCTCGCAACGGTTCTTTACCTGGTAGACCATATCGGTTGGTATTTGAAAATCAATAGCTGCTGTCTGCAGAGAGTCATGCTAGGCTGATTTGCCTTTTGGGAATGCACCCGCAATTTGCGGCACGCGTCCGTCGGTATTAACGATGTCGCTTGGTAGCCTTCATTTCTCCGGCGGCACTGGCATCAAGAAAAGCGCAAGGTAGTCTGGGGCAGCACAAAGAACCGATGAGCGGCCATTGTGCCAGAGGTCAGATCAGGCTGTGGGGGCTTCCGATCCCTTTTGTTGTCGACATCCAGCCTCAGCCCGTGCAATCAGGCGAGCTGCTCCTGAGCTCCAGCAGGTCGGCACTTTCCATACCATACCGGGCGGGAACCGTCCCAAGCACATTGACCCGATTTCATACACGACGTATTTTTCTCACGGATTGCAGAGTTGTGCTCTCGCCGTCGACGTTGAGGGTGGGCTGCGGCGGACGTCCATCGCGGTAGCAGTCAGATGCCGACCGTTGCCCATCCAGCTGTTCCGAGGCAAGGCGCACACCATCCCGTCCAGTGCGGCGTACCATAGTACTTCGTACCTCGTCAGGTACAGACGAGATCGAGGCGTTGTCGCTCCCGCTCCCCGCTAGTCCAGGATTTGTTTCCAAGCGAATGCAATATTTTCTTGACGTTTCTGATGACCGTCCGGTTTGAAGACACATCAGCGCAAACAATACTACTGTGTGTTTCAAAGTTCAAACCACATACCAATCCTCTCGAGTACATCCCGGTACTGGGGAGTGAGCACGATGGAGGTTTGTGTGGGATACCTGACCGAAGTACTTGGTACTGCGTGCCTCGACGTCGGGGTGGAGCCGCAAGGGACGCTGCCAGACGACCGAACCGGTACGTATCCCCTCCATGCTACCCTGTCCTTCCTTGCCATGACTGAGGCGCCACGACCCCAAGTTGGACGTACCCTGACGACGACCGACACTGTCAGAACGAACGACCCTCGCTCGCAGCATCATCTGGTTCTGCCTCACCTCGGCGACATCCAGGGCCAATGAGCTTGGTGATACTGAGCGGAAACGATCGTGCGATGGCATCACTCCTCGTCAATCTCGCCCATCAGCGCTGCCGTGGTCAAAGAAGCGGCGGAGGCGACCACGCAAAATAAATGGGGCGACGCCTTGGTGAGCACGACTAATGAGGTGAAGGGCAACCTGTAATTGTCAATGACAACGACCGCGCCTCAACTCTGTATTTGAATGGTCGACTGCGCGACCGTCGCTGTACAGCCACCAAAGACATCCCAGCCCTACCATTCGCCTTTCTCAAACACGGGTGCTGATAACGCTTCGTCCATCATTGGCAATTGTAGCCTAGCCGTCAGTTCACGGCGACTCAAGATGATGAGAGGCTCCTGCTGAACAATGCACAATCTTTGGCTCAGCTGCAGTCGGACTGGGTCACCAATAAGCACACTCGCTCACTCACTGGCCGACCTAGCGCCCAGCCAACACCCATCGCACACAATTTCCCAATGTCTCGCGATGAAGGGACAACGGGAAAAGAAGTTGGAGAAGAAAAGAGGGCTGCGGCTCAAGTCTGCAATCCAACTATGCGACATCGCGACTATGAAGTGCATCCAAAAAATCGCGATGCAGGCAGTCCCGTGGCGCCTGAGGCTCGCTCCAGCGAAGACGGTGGACGTCAGAAAAAGACAGACGAGGTTGACCGCATTTGTCGGTTGATCCGGCACAAGCGAAGAAAAAAAAAAGGGCACCTCATGCCGCATGGTGCAAGGGGCCGACCGCCAGCCAGCGACAGGCGCATTCCCGGCGCAGGCCCATTTCCAATCGCCCTCAATCCACCGGCCACGAAATCATGCATTGTCAAATAAACCCCGTCCTGTTTCATCGGGAAAACACCAGGCGGTAGACAGCGAAAGCGGTATTTAAGAATGTGCGAGTGTCCAAAACTTGGATCGCGGAGTCCTTGAACAGCTACCAATTGCCTTGGCATCCCCAGGCTAGTCATCAGACGTGCCTGCATGGGGCCGTCAACAACGTCGTGGCTGAACTCAATAACGGGGTAAAATTTCAACGTCACCAAAATACTCAATGACCTGCGCATGTCAGGACCATACAATTTGGGGAGCGTTCAATACGTCGCCATCATCGCACACAGAACCTCTTCTTCTGACGGTACTTGACATCGTTGGGCGAGGGGACGTAACGGGACTTGATGAGGGGAACACGCCACAATCGCTGCCAACTACCGCGCAGCAAACGCCGTCAAGCTGACATTCGGCTGACAAGCCGTATCAAAACCGGTCCCAAAGCCCAGCTTGAGAAGGCAAACTGGCAGACGTCCATCAATCAGCAACCGGAAGATACCATCGATGTTCATTCGTCCATCTCATCAACACCATCACGCAGGAAGGAAAAGATGGATGGTGGTCGATGATGGTCGCTGGTAACAGGCCATGACAGGCTAGTGAGGTGAGGTGCTGTGCGTTAACGAATGGATGGGGCCAGATGATGATCCCTGTCCGGGGACAGGGTCTTGCACCTCATCTGGACGACTGGGCCTGGGGGCCACCGCGCCGGTGCGTAGCGTACCTCCGGGAAGGGTTGTCGCTGGCTCTTGGACCTACCTGGATCATCCTTCGTCCGCGACTTGGTTACCTGCGTACTTAATTAAGTACGGTGCTGTTCGGGTTCCTGATGGTTGGGGCTGACCACTGGTTTGGCGCTGCGTACACAAAGAACAGGACCCTGCCAACCCCCTGTCCCAAGTCTGCCATGATGCTGTTTCTTGCCCTTCTTCTCGCGCTGTTCCTGTCCTCAATCTTGCTACTCCTCTTCCGGCTCTTCTGGTCTGGTCTTGACCATGTCTTGTGTTCTCTTCTCGACATGAGATCGGGCCTGGTGTTCTACAAGACGTTCTCCGTTCCCATTTCCGACCGGTCCCTTTTTCCCATCTCCTACAACTCAGACAAGCCCCCCTCCCAAGCAAGAGCCGAGCGGACCCATCCCTTTCCCCCCTTCCCCCTTCCCGCCCCAAAATCCGACGTATGCGTGTGGCATTAGTCCACCGGGCCAGGCTAAAGTAGTCCGACCCCAACCCAATCGGCCCCGATCCCAAAAAAATCTTGCAAGAGAATTGTCAGTGCCGCGTCTGGCCCGTTCGAGCAGAGTAGTCAGCCACACGGGGGCAACGGATGAGAAGCCACGCGCGTGAACCCCACCAGGCCGTGTGTGAAGTTGTGGCTCGGTGGAGTGGATCCCCGATCTCTGGGAAGGACGGGCAGCCAGTGAAGACTGTACGTACCGAGGCCCGGTCAACCCGGCCGAGTCCAGCGACCACTGGGCTGCCTGCCCACTGCTGGCCCCATGTTCGACTCGAAGAGCCAGACAAGCAACAGCGCCGGTACGTACCTCCCCCCCTCATTATGAGCAAGATGAGGTAATACCGCTCTTGACACATGATTTCGCGATACCCCTGCAAGGCGGGTCATCCCTGCTTGTGCCTTTCACACGTCTGCAGAACGCGCTTGCCCGTTTTCTATCAACAAGTGCCATGATCGGGACGCCTGCTGCCTATCGGTGAAGCTCGATTGCTGGCCATCAAAACTTGCCCAAATAGCCAAACACCTGCCTGCGTTTAGACTCAAAGCTGTGCCAAGCTTGAATTTGCATTAATCCATGGATTCTTTTTTTTTCACCATCAAATATTTGCTTCGTCATGGCCTCCAATAACGGCACATGGCATAAAACCTCGGTGCAAGCCGCACAGGAACAAGGCCATGCCTATTCGACCACCACAACCATCGCTGGAAACAAGCGTGCTCGCTCTGAAGCTTCGCATCCCGCAGCGCCACGACCAACTACCCTTCCAAGTCGCGCCTTGGGTATGCAACGGACATCGAGTCTGCCTCCAGGCCCCCCGAGATTGACGCCGAGCCCGATTACCTCTTTAGAGCTTGCCTCCCACCAGGGGCCGTCCGAATACACGCAACGGAATGTCATCCAGTCAACCCCATCCTCTTCTTCGGACCCTTTACTTGCGCTTGCTCATCCGTACTATGGTCTTCCTCGGCCACTGATCCGGAATTTGTACGGTCTTGGTATCAAGATAATGTATCCATGGCAGAAGGCTTGCTTACGCGGACCGGGGCTTTTGTCTGGGGAGAGAAATCTTGTCTATAGTGCCCCAACTGGCGGTGGAAAGTCTCTGGTCGCTGATGGCAAGTTTACCCTGCTATCATGCCCTTCCCGAGACGTCCTGCTAAACTCGTCACAGTGCTGATGCTGAAGAGGGTTCTCGAAGGAAAAAATGCAAAGGTGCTTTTAGTGCTACCTTACGTTGCTCTCGTACAAGAGAAAGTGCGATGGCTTCGGAACATCGTTCAAGGGGTGCCCAAGCTCGTAGACGAAATTGATGATGAAAAGCGGATCTGGAGGCGGCGTGCTGACGAAGATTCCATCAGGGTCATTGGATTCTTTGGAGGTAGCAAGGTCAAGCCTACATGGGCTGATTTTGATATCGGTGTCTGTACTATCGAAAAGGTATGTGATTCGCGGCTGCACCGAACTAGATGTCAACTGAATACGGGCAATCCAGGCGAATGCACTCGCAAACACTGCCATCGACGATTGTTCGATCAAGCACTTGAAAGCCGTTGTTTTAGATGAGCTTCACATGATCGATGATGACCACCGCGGATACCTCATGGAACTGATGGGGACAAAGCTGCTCAGTCTACCCCAGCCAGTCCAAATTATTGGCATGAGCGCTACAATGTCTGTTCGTATTGAGTAGAAACCCGAGCTTCGTCAGAGACCGACTCTAACTTTTGTTTATAGAACATCAATCTTTTGGCTAATTGGCTGGGAGCTCACTCTTACGAAACACGGTACCGGCCGGTGCCAATCGAAGAGCATCTCGTCTACGAAGGAAACATCTACCCTGCCGCCACAACGAGCGAGCTGCTCAAAACGGCTAATGAGCTGAAGACGCAGCAGCTTGAAAATACCAGGGCTATAAGGCGCATCGAGTCGTCAGATCACAAGGAACTCAAAGATCCCGTGCTGAATGCAGTTGTCTCCCTTGCCAGCGAGACTGCCAGGTCTGGCTACGGTGTGCTGGTCTTTGCGAGCAGTCGTCCTGGGTGCGAATCAGATGCTCGCTGGATCGCTAGGGTTATGCCCGCCTCACACGAACTTGACCCTGCCCTGGTTGACAAAAGAATCGATCTACTTGCTGAGTTGCGAAGTCTCGGAACCGGAATAGACCCTGTCCTCGAAGAGACGGTTCCTGCGGGAGTTGCCTTCCATCGTAAGTCTTCCTGAGCGGTTTCTATACAAATCATCGACTGATCGTTCATTAGACGTAGGTGTGCCGCCTTGTGCTTTTGAGCCGGGTTGCTGATCTTCCTAGGCTGGACTCACAACAGAGGAGCGCGAGATCATTGCCAGTGCCTATGATTCCGGTGTCATCAAAGTATGCATAGCTACCTGCAGCCTCGCTGCGGGTATCAATTTGTAGGTTCCGCGAATAAATGGACTGATTCGTGACCTAACACTTGCTAGACCTGCTCGAAGGGTTATACTTCATAATGCCCGCATGGGGCGAGACTTCGTCGGCCCATCTATGCTGCGGCAAATGCGCGGACGTGCTGGTCGCAAGGGCAAAGACGAAGTCGGAGAAACCTACTTGTGTTGTCGAAAAGACGATCTTGAGCAGGTGGTGGACCTGATGCATGCAGACATGCCCCAAATCACGAGCGGCTTGATAACAGATAAGCAGCGCATACAGAGGTGAGAAGGTTGCATCGATAATTTTACGACGAAGCTAAATATCCCAGGGCATTACTCGAGGTCATCGCGGTACGGCTTGCAACTAGTAAAGATGCCCTGGATGACTATTTGAGCAAGACCTTGCTAGCACACGCTGGACCACCGGAGCCATTGCAAGAATGTGTTGAGACGAGTCTTAGGAACCTCCAATCAATGGGGTTCATTACGGCGGACGTACTCGGCAACTATCAACCCACGAAATTGGGTCACGCCATTGTAGCCTCTGCCTTGGATCCCGATGATGGGGTGTTTATTCACAAAGAGTTGGAGAAGGCGCTCCAAGCCTTCGTAATGGACGGCGAGATGCATATTCTTTACACATTCACGCCTGTCCACGATTTCGGCACCAACATCAATTGGCAAGTATTCCGCAACGAAATGGAGAACCTCGACGATAGCGGACACCGCGTGCTCGGGTTTCTCGGGCTTAAACGTGCTGTGATCAACCGATTGTAAGTCGTGTCGACCCTTCTTCCGATGTCGCTAACCGTCTTCAGGGCACAAGGTAGTACACTGAAGGAGACGACACCCGAGGAAAAGGAAATCGTCCGTGTACACCGTCGGTTCTACTTGGCCTTTCAGTTACGAGACTTGTGCAACGAAGTGCCGGTCCACGCCGTTGCGCGCAAGTACGATGTGCCTCGTGGCGCGGTTCAAAACCTTTCGCAGACCTGCCACGGTTTCGCAGCTGGCATGATCAAATTTTGTGAGCATATGGGCTGGGGGTGAGTCGTCCTTTGGTCTGCACAACACGCCAGATCACTAATCGTACGGTGCAGCGTCATGTCTGCTGCGTTGGACCATTTCTCGGATCGGTTGAGAGCAGGCGCAAAGTCGGACTTGTTGGCCTTAGCACAGATTACCTTCGTAAAGAGCCGGACCGCGTACGTTGCGCGACCTCAAGTCACGTCGGGAATGCATCTAACTTTGTGAAACAGGAGAGTTTTCTGGGAAAACGGCTTTCGAAGCGTCGCGGCTGTTGCGAATGCAGATCCTAAAGAACTGTTACCTATCCTCATGCAGGCAAGCAGGTACTCCACCTGATCAAGGGATTACTACTCACAATCATACAGGCGCAACCGAGCAAGCTTCGAATCAAAGGGCAGGAGAATATCAAGTATGAAGAGAAGCTTATGGCCAAGGCTCAGGTCATTTCGAACTCGGCCAACCGACTATGGCGTAAGTGAGGACGGTGACGACATTTGGCACACCGCAACTGACAAGATTGAACAGAAATGCAGATGCAACAAGAGGTTTATGAGGAAGAAGGATGATGCAAACCAACAAACGGGCAGAGGGACCGGAGGAAGCGTGTTGGTGCGGTCAGCCCCTGGGCTGCAGCATGAGCTTTGCATGCCTACTGGATGCATCGTACCCGGGCAGTTGGCGGTGTCGCTCATAGGCGCATTCCCACCACTTCCCGCAGACGCAGATGCGTATGTATGTATGCATGCCGCCGCACACCCGTCAATTATTGGTGATAAAGACGCCCAACCTGCATTGCATCGGACGGCAGCCCCGCCCACGTCCTTCGCAGACCGGTCTAACGCGACCGACAGCCTGTGATAGAGCTCCGCTTCCACTCCCACCGCCACTCTGGACTTTCGGTAGCTTCTCAGTGGTCTGACTAGCCGCGGCCGGGAACAAACAAAGCCCATGCCCCAAAAGCCGCCGTCAGGTCGTCGAAGAAGAAGATGGGTGTCAACGGCGCGAGACGTGAAAAAGCAACATTGGCTCGTCACATGGACAAATACGGGATGGTGGTGCATTGCGGTGCGGTGCGGCGATTGCGTGCGTCCCGTTCCGGAGTTGCGCGGGGCCAAGGGCCAAGCTATAGGTAGACAGACAAGAGGCACAAGAAAGAAAGACATGGGATGGAACGCAGACCGAGGTGGGTGGCATTCCCGAGAAAAGTCGCTAGCCAAGCACCAAGGCCGAGGGGAGAGACAGACGCAGAACTTCGGTTGCGATTGACGGAGACTGGCGAATGGTGTCAAGCCGACACCAAGTTGTAGGTGACACCTGACATGCACTCGACTCTTCCATGCGACGATAGAACCGTTCATGCACTAGTTACACAGCAGGAACAACAGGGAAGCAGAAGACGCAGCGGGAAAAGAAAAATCGACCATGTCCCGAACGGGACTCGGCCGGCGGACTCCTAGTGACCCAGATGCGCCTCGCCATAGTTGGCGGTCGCGAGGCTGCTGGGCGCGGCCAACAAAGGTCTGACAGCCACCGCCCACCGAGCTACCCACCCTCATCCGTCCACGTCTTGTTCGACTTGTGCATAATTATACCTCTCCAGTGGTGTGGCTGCCTGACCTTGGTGGTCTTGCGCGCAATCCGAGCCTATATGAAGCCCGTCGTTCCTCGAACCTCATCCATCCCGCTGGAAACGTCTCTCTCCGGTTTGTTGGTTGCAGTCCTGTTCCGGCCATTCATGTCAGCTTTCCAAGGTTGCTAACGATCCTCGACATCCACCGCCGACCGGTACCACCACACCGAGGGAACCGACCAATAGTGTGTCGAGCGCGTTTTTCTCAATGTCTGCCGTCTCTCGCGGTTTAAATGGGGGAAGCAGCAGCAGTGGCAGCAGTACAGGAGATGTTGCGCAGACTTTGGGCGATGTCATGAGGACATCAACAGCCGACTCTCCGAGTGTTATTGTCCTTGATGACACATTCGAGGAGAAGAAACGAAAGGACGAACCCAGCCCTCGCGAGGACTTGTGGTTGACATCTGCAGATGGCCGATACAACTCGGCCATCATTCCGCTTCGTGTTGGCCGAGTCCCAAACCAAGAGATTTTCCAAGTTCACAGAGACATTTTGGTGACGACCGAATACTTCCGCAAAGCGCTCTGTGGCGATTTCAGAGAGGCCGAGGCACAATCGATGGATTTTCCAGAAGAAGACCCCGCCATATTCCACTTTCTCGTCGCCTTTCTTTACCAGAAAAGCTTCATTCCCATCAGGCCCGCCGCATCGGCGTTGGACCAGGAGGAGTCGGCCCGGGGCAAAGCACAAGAAACTGGATATCAAAGCGAATCGGAATCGGAAATTTCATCGTCGGAGGCCAGCGATGCCAGCGCTAGAAGTCGACTACGGGCGCAGCGGCGGCAACGGCGGCGAGAGCGGCAATGGGAGCGTCAGAACCGCAAGCAACCCGGCGCACACCGCCCAGATTGCAGATGTCCGCGCTGCACCACCACCACGACCGGGTCCATGTCGCCATGCTGGAATTGTGGCGTCGGCCGCTCAAGGCCGATGCCCGGCGGACCCATGCCGCACATGATGCCAGGGCCTCCCGTGCCTCTCACGCGGCCAGCATTCATCCCTCCGCACCGCCGGCGTCGCAGTCGGCCCCAGATTCTCACACCGCCTGGTTCAACACCCTCGAATGACAATCCCGCGTCGGGTAACGAGGACTTCATGGATGGCGATCGTATACGGGGTGAAGATATGCGAACCTGGCTCCTGACGTACGAGCTCAGCCTGGACGTGTACATCACCGCCAACAAGTTCCTGATGGACGACTTCAAAACGGCAATCATGCGTCACTGCGTCGACATGCTCGAGTCCGCCGGGTCCGATGCGGCCCAGCCGGCCGTTTTGGCGTTGTGCTCGAAACTGTACTCCGGAGTGCCCGAGTCCGACGGTCTGTTGAAGATGATATTTGCCAGAGTCGGCTTTCTGCAGCCACTTTTGTGGCAGAGAGCACCGCAGCAGACGTCCGAGTTCTTGATCGGCCACCCGGAGGTGGCGGCCCTAATGCTCCGCGAGACGGCCATGCGCAGAGAAGAGGATCTGGGGAGCAGGACGCTTCCGTCCATGGAACGAGCAACGCACACCCATCCAATGCCCGTCTGGCCGGTCGGCGCGCCTCTGCCTCCGCATATGCGGCATCCCCCGCCACCGCCACCGCAACCTCACTGGCACCCGGCTCCGTGGTGATGGAGACATTCCTAACGAGGAGCGGCGTAACATTTCGTCTCTATTCGTGCGCTTGGCAGGGCTGCTTACTTTTGAGACCAGAAACACGAACACTGGTCTCTTGTCAATATTTTGTCCAATGGTGTTTGTGAAGGGTTTCCGGGTTTGAAATGTAGTCTAGTAACGTTGGTCGTCGCGGCGAAAGTTTGTTTGATGGAGCCCCTTCCAGCGGGCTGTACTATCCCAGCTTCCCATCCACAGGGGACCATTGCTGTGTGGTTGTTACCCCATCATTCTGAAGCAGAATAACATACCCCAGTGTACTATTGCGCCTCAGTCCGTTCATCCGATCGACGTATGCAGGTCCCTTTCCCGTGGCGCATGTGATCTATTGATAAGAGGTGGTACTCGATGGTATGTATCATGGAGCTGAACTAGAACCGCGCGACTCATCACTCCTGGTCCAAAGGCAGGGGTGGTTTGTTGAGTTGGGCCGAAACAGAGCAACAAACACGTTTTCCCCATGCCGCCGCTGCCGTTGCATCCGAACGTCGTCACAGATAATGCCGTGCAAGTAGCTTCATAGCAAATTCGTAGACCAGTGGTTCCCTTCAGCCGTGAAGAACATCCCATCTCTTTTTCTTTCGTGTGTGATGGTGTGGTGCGTGACCAACCTACACAGCTCGTCCGGTGCGGAGAAATTGCAGCACCCAACTTCGGTACATGATTGAGGAGAATCACCGAGCCCAGCCCCCCTCCCGGGGTCCCCGCAAACTATTCACGATTCTGGGGTTCAAGCTCCGGAACCCCACCATTGGTGTTGTTTACCCCACAAGACGGAGCCTAAACCAGAGTGTAAGGACGGGGGGCACCGGTTCCTGATGGTAAGCTTGGATTCGGATGACGAGGTTAGGTTTTGCTTAATTTCCCATGCCCTTGGGATCACGCCCCTTCCCCCCGGTTCCGTCGCTTCGTCTTGGGCCGAAGCCGTTGCGAAGCTGGCCATGTATATATCCGCCCTGTCCCTTAGGATCTGGGCATCATGAGACCGATCTCACGGTGCTGAACTACTCGCGAGCTTGAGAGCTGCGTGTTTCCTGCCCTGCGATGCCGTCGACACTCACCACCGCGGTGCTCACCGCCCTCGCGGCCGCCGGCGCCGTAGCTGCGCTCCCCCAAGCACAAGCCCGCCAGACGCAGACGCATCTCCTCGCCGAGACGGACTACGGAAGCTTTCAAGGCGCGTATTCCGAGACGTACAACATTTCGTTTTGGCAGAAGATTCCCTACGCCTCGCCGCCCGTGGGAGAGAACCGGTTCCGTGGACCGCAGCCGCCGCAGAGTATCGAGGGAGTCTATGACTCGAGCCAGCCGTTTGACATGTGCCCGCAGCGGACGGTGAGTTTCGGGCTCCCATGCGAGCAAAAGTCGTCAGAGGATGGTGTAGGCTGACGAAACCCGGGTTTGCAGGTCAATGGCTCCGAAGACTGTCTGTATCTTGGCCTCTATTCACGTCCGTGGACGAAATCGCAGCCCCTGAAACCAGTGGTGTAAGTAGCCTCTGGCGTCGAAAAGAGTCATCTTCCAGCTGACCAGCAACGCCAACAGTGTGACTTTCTACGGGGGAGGTTTCATACAAGGCAGTGCTTATTTCTCGATCCCGCCGTCCGCGTATCCGATCCTCAACGTCTCCGATGCCTCAGACATGCTTTTCGTATATCCAAACTACCGCACGAATGCCTTCGGCCTCCTCCCAGGCAAGGAAATCGCCGCTGACCCCAAGTCCGACCTCAACCCGGGCCGTAAGTAGATTCATTGGAATATGAAATGGCGAAAATGCTAACGTTGCGTGAAGTCCTCGACCAGGAAGCCGTGTTGAAATGGACACAAAAGTACATCGCGCAGTTCGGTGGAAACCCGGACGACGTCACGATATGGGGCCAGTCGGCCGGCGGGGGCAGCGTGCTCGCCCAGGCACTCAGCAGAGGAGGGAAGCAGAAGCTATTCCGCAAGGCGATGGCGAGCAGCCCGTTCTGGCCGAAGACGTACCGCTACGACAGCACCGAAGCGCAGGCTCTCTACGATGAGCTTGCGGGACGGACGGGTTGTGCTGGAGCGGACAGCTTGGCATGCTTGAAAAAGGCCGAGGTGCAAACGATCCGGGATGCCAGCCTCGCTATTTCGACTTCGCATCAGTACAACACGTCTTCGTTTACGTGGTCGCCCGTGATCGACGGGGAGTTTCTGCGGGAACCGTTGAGCGAGGCGACCGAAAAGGGGAACGTGAACATGGACCTGGCCTTTGCGCTTCACAACACGCATGAGGGCGAGAACTTCATCCCGCCCGGGCTGCAGAGCGAAGCGGGGTCGGGGTCGCCTTCTTTCAATTCGAGTGAGGCGTCGTTTGAGAAGTGGCTGAGAGGATTTCTTCCCGGATTTGGTGACTGCGAGATCGAGGCCGTGAAAAAGCTTTACCCCCCAGCCGGTATAACGGAGACCATCTCATATAACACCACATATGTGAGAGCGGGTCTTGTTTACAGGGACGCTGTGTTATCGTGCCCTGCGTTTTGGTTCGCTGGTTCGGCGTCGAAGGGTGGGTGGTTGGGCGAGTATTCGCTCAACCCATCCAAGCACGCCAGTGATACCGTTTGGGTAGGTGGATTTTGAACGATGGATAGGGCAACCGGCTGACAGTAAGCAGTGGAACCAGGTCAACGCGGTGCAGAAGACGGATCCAGCCCGTTACCAAGGCTATGCTGGTAGGTGTTTTGAGAAAGCTCTCATTGAACGCTACTCTGACTAACACTTTCAGGCGCTTTTGCATCCTTCTTCCAGACCGGTGACCCTAACGCTCTCAAACTGTCGCCATCGACGGCGGCCGGAGTGCCCTCCCTGAAAGAAAATAAAGAATGGACAATTGTGGACGCGGGTTTCGCGACCGCTGGGTTGGACCATTTGGAAAAGAGATGCGGCTTCTGGAAGAAGACAGCATCAAAGATACCCATCTGAAGTGCCCTTGGCATTGTACACATGTAGGGGAGAATAGACTAGTCAATAGGGTTGTCCCGCAGTTTGAAGAGCTCCCTCATCACGTCCTCTGTCTTGGAGCGCAGCGCAGAGTGGTACAGCTGATTCGTCTCGTATACTTTGCAACCCTTGACTAGGGCCGCCGTGTCCCTGGCGAATTGATTGTCGACGTACATGTCGTCAATGTAGCTGGCGGCATATACAGGGACCTCGTTGTTGCGAAGTTGCTCGTGGTCGTACAGGTCCTCAGGCCAGTCAGTAAACTTGGCAAGAATCTCGGCGACCTCGCGCAGCTCAATCAATTCCGGGTACGTTTCGAAGTGCAGCGGGAAAATCATCTCTCCAGAGAAGAAGAGGGGAGGCCCAGCGACCTCGGAGATTGTAGGCTCTTGTGCCAACCAGGAAAACTGTTCCAAGGACTTGCCGACTCGGTAAGCCGCCCAGTCAGAAGCCCAGCCTGGCTTTTCGCAGTAGATGGCCTCGTGGAGGATAGCGTAGATGATGTGGTTGTCGAATCCTGTGGCGTTCTCAATATCGGAGAGGCTTGAGCGGGTGAAAAAACCGAAATTCTCGAGGTCTGTCTTCAACTTGAGAACCGTGCTGTGGACAGAATCGAGACCGCCGTGGCCGCCGAATGCGAGTCCCAAGGTGAGCAGCCGAGGAACAGTGAGAAAGCCGCCACCGGGTAGATTGATCTTTTTCTTCTCCTGAATGAACCGGGCCACCTGATGAACATTCTCAATGTCCTCAGGGTACTTCTCGTAGTATGCGTGGTTCCTCTCCATGACTTTCTTGAAGGTTGCTTCGTAGACCTGCTCCGGTTTCTTGCCGACGGGGGCAAGGCCGCCAGTCAGGAAGCACTCGCGCAAAGCTTCGGGGTACTTGGAGAGGTATGTCAGAATGACGAAACCACCAAAAGACTGTCCGAAAAGGGACCATTTCTTCTTCTCCTCCGGGAAATCCTTTGTAAGGTAGGCCCTCACGGCTTCGCAGTCCTTGACGATGTTGTCTTGACGAAGCAGCTTGAGGTGATCGGCCTGTTTCTGAGCATCGCCATGGAGTGCTAGAGCAGCAGCTGACACGGGCGAGCTCAGGCCGACGCCTCTGTAGTCGAGGAACAGAACTTGATATCCCCGATCAAGTGCGGTATGGGTGACAGGGCTGTCTTGAGGCTCTGGATTGCCAAATCCGGGTCCTCCCTGCAGGAACACCATCCATGGCTTTTGCTCAGCTTGCCTCTTCTCAGACTCAGTCGGGGCAACTATGGGTCTCTCGTGCTTGGTGACACTTCTGCCGAAGAGCCTAAGGACGCCTGCAGACTGGTTGTTGTAGTCCTTGGGCACCTCAAAGAAGAGCTCCGATACGAGAAATTGCCCTTGGAGGTGCGTTAGTGTTGTTTCTATGCGTATAAGACGCGAGGAAATGGTATCTGGGTGAACTCACCTGGAATGATATGGGATCTCTTGCTCAGCAGCTTTGCTGCATTGATCACTTTGGATGCCATGATGGAACTGGAAACCCCCAAGGAAAGATACAGAAAATATTGAACTGATCTTTGTAGAAAAGAATGCTTGACGTGGCAGATTGTAAGTTCGATGGTTTGAGCGACTTTGGCAACCCCGCGCAGTCGTTGAATGAGATAAGTGCAGTGAGACGTCGCACCTTCTCAGAACGGCAACTGGGGCTTTCGCACAGTGTAAGCAGCGGCGACCTTTGCCGGAGGACACAGTGCAATTTCCCGCTCCAACCCCACAAGCTGCTTCTTGCCTCGAAACTTCATCTTCTTGGATGTCCTTCCAGTAAATATGCTTTGCTGTAGTCTCGTTAGATCCTACCAATTATCTCTTGCGGGTAAGCATGATCAGAAATCAACGTTTGTCGAAACTGTGCAAGAACAAGGCCGGAAATGCATGAGTAGCTTCATGTCGTCCTTTGATGCACCCTGGAAGCATGTAATAAATACTAAGTGATTTTAAGCTCTGCTAGCATCACTCACTTGGCTGGCTAGCTTAGTCTTAAGTCGGTTTTGATGGGCTTCAGGCAGGAGATTTGACAAAACCCAATGCCGAAAGCCCATGTTATCTTACATACCAGGGACGACGCAATGAGTCCGAATTTTAGACAGTCTTGAAAGCAACTAAATTCTCCTTGGCTTCGCCCTGGTTGAGGTTTTGGTGAATATGGCCTTCCTAGTAGGTATGGTTTGATAGGCTCACTTTCTTCGAGGTACAGCTCGGTCTAGACCTCTTACATAAGCTTAGCGCCGATAGCCAGCCAATGACATCAGCCCCCACGCCCAGGATCCGAAGCGTTGCTCGGCTCGGCAAAATATGGTCGGGACTCCAAGCCCATGGACCGCGCGCGCCCCGTCGCCCTTCCCACTGTGACTGACTGTCCGGGGGACAGGCGTGCTGGCGGCAAAGATGGGTAGCGAAACGAAAGTCTCCCCATCACTCCAAACATCAAAGACGTCCCTCCGCCCCTTCATGCCACATCCCACATGCTCCGATCGCGAAGTCACAAACAGTGGGATGAATTACATACATCTCACCCAAACGCTGGTTGATTCTTTCAACGCCCTCGCCGATGAAGTCCAGATCCTGACCGACAGGAAGACGATCCTGGAGCACAAGCTCAGGTTCGCTCACGAACAGGTACGGAGAACCCTCGAAACACACGCGAGTGGGTTTGTCAGCCGCCGCCCCGGCGCCATGCGACACTCTCACACACGCACCCCTTCCCTTGCCTTGCATGATGAGCAACCTTAGCTCTAGATCAAGAGCTCCTCTGTACTACTTAGGAGCAAAGACCGACCACTTTTTACCATTTCCTGACTTGCGACTCCATGTCTCCTGCTTCGTCGTCCGGCCAGCCTCGGTGATAACTCATGCTGACCCGACAGTGCCTTCAGTACCAATACCTCGCCGACAAACATGCACCTGCTGCTCCCGAAATTTCAGAAGTACTGGCAAAGCTACAGCTGCCTCCCGAACTAGCAAATCCATCTCTCGAAGAAGCTTCCCAAGCAGTCCCTCTCCCGAAGCGCAATAAGCTGGATACCCGGAACCAGATCGCACTCATCATCCGAGACGGCCGGCGCGTCGCCCAACAACTGTCGTCCGTCGGCGAAACGAGCAAGACGAGCGACTCTAGCAGACAGACCTCTTCCCGTGAAGCCGAAACCGGAACCTCCATGTCGACTGTGCTCGAGCAGGACTTTACAATCGAGGGCAAGAAGGGACACTTGGAATGTCCTTTCTCCGCACCAAAGACGGTGGAGGTGGATGGCGCCGTCGAGGGTGATGCGCAAAGCGCGGAAAACGGGTCGCAGGACCCCACGCCACACCACTCCGCCGACCCCATTTGCGCTGCTATGCTCGAAGAATCCACGTCTCAGGCAGCTGCCAACGGCGGCTCGCCCGCGAAGTGCCCGATCCGTTACCTCGATCAACACTCTCCCGAAGAGATTGCGCACTACGTCGAAACACACAAGCACGAACTGCCTCGCAGCCATGAGGTCTGCGTGAGGAGATATCAGAAGAACGAAGTGCAGATCAAGAAGCTCGATGCAAAGTACGGCAACCTGGTGAACATGATACAAGGACTTAGTGCGCTGCACCAGCCCATGCTGCCATCGTCTCAGCAGGAGCAAGAAGAGATTGATCGGGCATCGAATGAGAGGGTTGAGAACTGGGCAAAGGCCGTCACTGCTACCGCCACTGACGACGCCGAACAGTCGCTGCCGGCGCTGGAGGATGCCGAGGAGGCGCGGCAGAGTCACTTCGATCGGCCTCTGAAGGAGGTTCGGGTAGGCGAGTCACCTAGCCGACCGTGGGGCATCTCGGTTCCAGTGTACGAGCGCAACGGCCTGGATGACGACGAACGCCCTCCCATGTCGCCGCCACCTGCTCCCGTCTTCATGCCATCTGGCACAGACGTCGGGGAGACACCAGAGGACACCCCGGCGAAGACTGGCAAGTGCCCCTTTGACCACACAAAGATGGCGGCAATGGCCGCGCCCCGTGAAGACCCCCGACCCGTTTCACCACCGCCGGCGCCCATGTTCATGCCCAACGGAACGAGCGACCACGCCGGGTCTGCCCCAAAGACCGGAGGTAAATGCCCGTTTGACCATGCTCAGCTGGCCGCCATGGGCTTCACCTCTCCAACGCCCAACACCGGCGAGCAGACCTTCGTGCATCCGGAGCCTGAGCCAGACCCGGTGGAACTCCCATCAACACCGGTCAAGCCCCAGCCCCAGACTTCACACAGTCCTCCGCCGCCTCAGCCAGCCTTCATCAACCCGCCTCTAGACGCATACAAGCAACCCCTCGCTGGCGGCGTCCCTCAGATGGTGTTCACAGGACCTGTCTTCATCGGTTACCCTATTGAGCAAGCGATACAATTCATGCAGCATTTTCAGGGACGGCAATAATCCTTTTTCCGCCGTTCCCTACAACATCGTCTTCTCACACGCAATTACAACAGTCGGACTTGATATCGGGATGGAGGCGTTTGTCTTATTTTAGCGAAGGCGTTGGGATGGGACTTTTGACACATTGCTTCATTTCACCTTCGAGCTTCCGTGGTGTAGCACGAGTTTTACGTACAGATTGACGAAGTCCGGGCAAAAGGGATGATTGGACGCAGGGGATAGCAGACAGAACTCGTCCGTATGATACCACGAGACACCAAATATGAGATACTTGGTCATGAAACCGTTCACATATTGAGTCCCTGGCTACGTTCATTTTACTCAATTTCATGATGCGCCTTATGTCTAGTATTCCAGTTCTATGTCTACCACGATCGGCGTAGAGAACGACACACACCTTAATCCGCATCTTTGAACCCGGTGCTCTCCTCATCCCGGTCATCGTCACCCTTGTGTTTTGTCCCTTGCCCCTTGAGACCATCTCCGTTGTCGTCATCGTCGTCATCGTCATAATACCCGCCGACCTGGGTCTCCTCGTCATCCACTGCCTCGCGGGCCCAGAGCGAAATGTCGTCGTCGTCCATAAGCGCAGCGACGTCCTCGGGGTCAACGAGGCCAGCCTCGACGTCAAAGTAATCCGGCGCTCCTTCTCTCCCGGGGGCTACGGCGCCCTCGGACTCGGCCTGCTCGAGCGCCAGCTCGGCGGCGCGAGCCATGGTGCGGTTGTAGATAACGTAGCCGACGACCAGACCGACGGCGCCGCCAAGGATCATGGAGATATAGTTGATGGCCTTGCCACCGGCGGACATCTCGTCGCCTTTTTCAGCGAGGAGGGCCAGGCGGCTGCCGATAAAGACGTGGACAAGCAGCTTGGGGCTATTTGATGTTAGTCGTCGCATTGTGACCAGACATGTAGTGGAGAGGGGGGCTTACCTTGCCAGAGCTGTCGAGACTGCGAAAGCCCACGGTTTGATCGAGGGGATGGTCGAAAGGAAGCCGTTGGACAAACTGTACGGCAAGGGACAAAAGCGCACAGCCGTCAACATCTTTATGCCGTCTTTCCTCAGTACCTGGCCCAGCGCAATGAACCTATGATCCTGCCCGACCAGTCTATGGACGTAGCTGCTGAATATCGTTCGGCTTGTGTAGAACGCCGTCAGGCTGCCCGCCACCGTCGCAGTCGCGACAATCGGATAACCCAGCGGGAAGCCATAGACGAACCCCGACACGGAAATGGCCGTGCTGTACCCAATCATGGGCGGGAAGGCAGTCATGAACGTAAAGGCCCAGATAATCAGCCATCCTCCCGGGAGCGCCCTCCACTTTTGTGATACCGGGGCAAGCCACTTGAAGATTGCGTGCGAGTAGATGAGGAAGAGCAGGCCGAGGACGTTGACGACGAGCAGGAATACTGCGACCGCAACACGCTGGACGGGGGAGAGGCCGAGGTACATGGTCCATAACCTGTTACCGGTCTTGACTGCTGACTGGATCGCACGGTTGACGGCTGAGAGGGCGGTCGTCTTACGGTTGCCAAAGCGGGCGCTGGACAGGCGGCGGGATGATCGCGACGTGGACCATGGCGGGCGGATGTCGCTGGGGTCGTTCTCTGGGGATGAAGGATTCGGGGAGATGGACAGCGCCCGCGCTGCGGACTCGTAGTCGGCCGGCATCGTGGACGGTCGGTTTACTGGGTTGGGACCGGAGCCTCCGGATGAGGTATGCCGCGGGGCAGTCGGGCGGATCGAGGGGTTCGTTGTTCTAGTCTAGGTGTGGTTCGCAATTTACTGGCTCGGCACTCATCTAGCCATTTCGAATGGAAACAAAACAGGAAGATGGACACTAGGATGAGGTGTGGGAGAGAGCTTTGTCGAGGGAGAGGTACGGACGAGACGGCAGTCGCGACGTTCGAAGCGCTGACTTGCAAGCCTACAAGCGATGAGGTAAGCTAAGCCACTGGCACAGCTGCGCAAAAGGTGGTAGTGTCAGCCAAGGTTTCTATTCTCGATCGACGACGCGCGGGTCCCGTTCAAGTGCGGTGGACTGGCAACTGGGTACCTACCTATCTCACTAGGATTCCACAGCTTCTAGAAGTTTGCGCCTCTCAAAAGTATGAGCAAAACGGCAGGTCGAATATTACGACAGCTTGTAAACTTAGTGATGAGGAACCTCAACAAAAGCAAACGGGCGAGGCGACTGAAGATGCAGCTTAGAGCGTTAAACGGGAAAGGAACGTTTCATAGGCAAACGCAGTGAAGGTGTCTCACGTTCCTGCGGACGGTTTCAATCGCTTGGCATACAGGGGGCTCGATGCATGTCCGCACGTCCCCAAAAGGGCAATTGCCAGAGGCAGCAGGCGGCACTAGGCAGGCGGCAAGCTGCGACAGCGACAGCTGTGCATCCCGTCCGGCTCGGTTTGCCTGCCGACCGAGCGCCCGGCCTAAATCCGCCCCAAAGCCCGGTGCAGTCAGTAAGTGTGGGGGCTCCACACAAGCTGGAAGCTTTCGATGCTCCTTCCCTGCATGAACTTCAGGACGAGGCGGCTCTTCTACCCGGCACCTTACGCTCAACGACCGCCGCATTCTGCCAAACGCTTTACATGCTAGGTGCCGACTCGAAGATTTGAAAAAAGGGGAGACTGCTCCCTGGAGCGTCTTTCTGACATTTCTACTCGTTCTTTCTAGTTTCTTTTCTTTCTTTCTACTTTCGTCATCGCCGCCCACTAGGACCCTTGGGAGGGTCCCTCACCAGGAGCCTAACCTTGCCATCCCCGATCTCCACTCCTTGACTCAGGATGTCAACCTCCTCCTTGCTTTCATCCGCACTCGACGTCCCTTCGCGAGCCAGCGACTTGTCGTAGCTTCGAGCATCAATGCCCAGAATCCCTCCCATGTTGTTGCGGTCGCCTGGAACGGAGAATTCGCGGTAGGCGTACCTCCACTCATTCAAAAAGTTGCGGATCGCCTTACCCACTTTGTCCTTGCCGTTCTTGCTATGATGCCCGGTACCAGTGATGGCGTAGATCGATCTGCTCTCCTTAACATTCTCCATCAACACCCGCTCTAGGTACTCTACTGCTTCCTCAGGGTGAAGCCCATGGAGGTCGACGTAGATTTCTAAGCTGTTCGCGTTGCCCTTATTACGCTCCTCGTACAACTCACGAGCAGCCTCCCTATGAGCTTTTCGCATGAGGTCGTTCTCGCTCTGACCTCTGAGGCTCAGGGCTTTGGCAGCCCTTGCGTCATTGCGGTTCCAAGCTTGCGCGGCGCTGGGTAAATGGTTAGTTCTTCCCTTGGACCGCTGACACTGATCTTGACTCACCTCTGAAGGAACTTATTGCGGAGACCGCCATGCTTGATGGCCTCTTGTCTGGCTTTGAGGTATGCTTTGTTGGCGCGCTCCCCGGTCTCCAGCCAGGGAATGTGTTTAGGGTTAGGAATTGCCTGCGCCGCGGCACTGTTTTCTCCGTTTCGGATATTCGTGGAGCTCCCATTTCGACCGAGCTTCTTCGTGTCTTGGCGAAGGGAAGCCGAGCTCGGAGAGGGCGACATCTTGACGATTTCGGCCAGAGAACTAGGGCCAAAGTTTTCCTTGTGATTATGCCCGTGTCCACCGCGCTTTCCATGATGCTTCTTGCCTTGCTTTGCTGCAGCTGAGCCAAGCGTGGGGAAAGCGTCTGCGTCGTCCAGCGACGGGGCTACAGGTTCCCTTGCTTGCTGGTGTCGGCTTCCAGGACGAGATCGGGGCCTTGGGCTTTGGTCTTGATAAAAGGGCTTCAAACCAGGCGGAGGTGTGATTCCAACAGTGATGTTAACACCTCCAGCGAAACCACCGAGATGTTCCGGGGTGCCCGGGGGAAGTGCCGGAAAAGAGTTTAAGTCCAGGTTATTGGCTTGCTTTGTTGGCGGAGTGCTGGAGCCATCCAACGCAAGCTTGTTCATCAAATGCGCTGGGTCGTGAGAGAAGATGCAAGTCTCGCCAGCTAAGCAATTTCCCATCACCCAGTATCTTTCAACATCTTGTTAGTCATCACTTTGTTGAATGTTTAGAATATGTCAACTCACTTGCAAAGGTGATTACTCAGGTCATGGCTGAATCGGCAATCAGCCCGCAGGCATTGTCCGGTCGACATGTAAAACTTGCAAATGACCCCTGATCTTTGACCACCAGCAGGTGTGGTTGGGCGGCCTTCTGCAGCTAGAGCTTTGCCAATAAGAGAAGTCTTGGAGTCATCAGGGTGCAACGCAGCGCTAAATCCATTCTCTTGCGCCTGGCTCTCCATGATGGACACTATCGTTGCGCTCAGGTCGTACCCATGTAGCGCAAGAGCAGCTTCAATCTCATCGTCGGTTCTCGTCTGACCGAGTATTGAGCGAAGCATATCGTAAGGAGACATGTCAGCCTGCTGCGATGACATGGACGAGAACTCGGGAGCGGCAGCGTTCAGGCCACTCGACGTCCCGACTGATGATGTGATGCTTATAGCATCGTCCGCAACGAGCCACTCTACGTTCTCGGTCTGGTAATCGCCGAAAGTTTCCTGGGAAGGGGATCTATCGTTGGCGAACTCATACGCGTTCAGGTTCGGGCTGTTGGGTATGACGGGCGTCGCGAAGGCGAGTCTCGGAGACGGCCTTGGCGAAGAAAAAGGAGAGGCGGCTGACGATTTCGTTCTCGAGAAAGACGGTACGAAGCCGGGAGGGGCCAGTGGACTGACCCCGAGGCGCGGCGAGCCAGAGAGAGGAGTGGCATTGCCGCGCCATGGGGACGGCGAAGGTCGTCGAAGGATGGTCTGGCGGATGGGAGGAGGCGAGGTTGAGCTGCCGCCGCCATCGCGGTATCGCCATAACACATCGAGAATCGCATTGTCTAATGAAGGGCCAGACAAGCTTGTCTGGCTTCGGAGTAGATCCTCCAGCTGATCCGTTTTATCCTCGTCCTCAAGGGTGGCATCCTGGAGGATAGGGAGGCAGATCTCGTAGTGCTCGTCGGAAACCATGATTGCGCGGTTTGGGACCGAGACGCAGCCCGTTCGGGGCAGAATCAGGCAGGTATGATGCGGTAAAGAATATGTATTGTTTGCGAATGTATGGTTTGGAGCCGGTAGCGAGGCGGCGAGGCAGCGAGTCTATGGTATGTCTTCGGTCTGGGGTGGAGCAAGTACTACGTAAGGCAGGCGACGGGCAGACAGAGGCAGTGGCAGGCAGGGCTGAGGGTTGGCGTTGGAGTTGACGTGGGATGTCAGCCTTCGTGTAGGGTAAGGTATGGCGGCGGTGGACGAGGTCGAACGAAGAGGGCGTTGTGCGTGCAAGAGCAACGTCGGTATTACTAGAGAAAGGATGCGCTAGAGACTTGGTGTCCGTGTATGAGGTGCTCGACGAGTGATCGAAGGAAAGACGAACGGGATAGCGATGGGACGGGGAGCGAAGATGGTGGGCGGGACTCGATGGTTCCGTCACATGGTTTCGGAGCCAGGGGCGGAGGAGGGATTGTCTCGAGCTCCTTGTCGGGTTGAATGAGGTGGTTGATGCTTCCGTCACAAAGGAGACTTGAAGCTCGAGCTGGAGCTGTTGCCGTCAGGTCCTTGTGTGTTTGTGGTTTCCCTTCTGGCTCTGGCCTGCTTTGTTGCCGACCGTTGGAAGGCGAAGAGCAAGACACGCGTGAGGGGGACGGGAGATGATGGTATGTATGGATGGTGGAGGAAACGCGGCGACAAGGTGCACATACACGTATTACTTTCCCCCTTCAGGCTTCAGCTGATGACTAGGACCAGCTGGGGAACGGGGGGGCCTGCTATGGCGCTATTGCTGTCTGTTGCTGCTGCCGTCGCTGCTGCAGCGGAAGAGGTACGGATGAGTGGGTGGAGGGTAGGCAACGCAGGCAGGTATCTCTTTGGGGTGCGTGCGTGGTGCCCGCTGCTGGGGAAGAGGTGCTGCTGCGGTGCTAGGTGGTGCTGGCAATAGGTAAGGTAATTACCTTCCATTGGAGAGCTGCCCTGACCGACTGCTGTGGACAGTGGAGGAAGGGATGATGCAGCGGCGCCAGCAATAGCAACACCAGCAGGCCGCCAACAGCTCCCGGGGGTCGGGGTACTGGGGGCCCGGTGTCAGTGAAATCAAAGCCCAGCGGTACGTATCCCCTGAGGTGCCTCCAGACATCCAATCCGAAGCGCAGGGCGGGGAGCGCCCCAGCTGGCCGTCCAGTGAGCGATCAAGGCTGGAGCGTGGGGTCGCTCCCTCCACTGCGGTGGCCCCTCTCTCAGACTCACCACCTCATTAAAGGGAACGGGCAGTTCGCCGGGTCTGGCCCAGGTTGGCTCAGATCTCCCCTTTTCCACGTCTCCTGGCTCGAAGGGAACATGACAGTTGACTGCCAAACTGCGTGACTGCGCAGGCCAGGCACGCAAAGCTCAAGCCCGCGGAGTCGAAGACGAGGACACGAAAAACAAACAACCCTCGGTCCAAGATTTGGAGCCTTTGGATGAACTCATCTGATTGGGCCACCTGCAGCAACACTACCGCAGAACAAGGCGACCAGCTAGGCGCCTTGAACCATGACAATGGGTGCGAGCTGAGAGACGCCGAAACCAAGGCTGCGAGTTGCAGGTTTTCTTTCACCGAGAACCTGTTAGAAGGAAGGCCATTATCCTTTCACCTGCACTCCCAGCCAGTCACTGTGCACCCTTTATGCCATCTCATGGCACACCAACCCATTTTTATATCGTGTCCCACAGAGTGTGATTGCTGATACTTGCCGCAGTGGTAAGACCATGTGACTTCTGGTTGGATGATCTTCGTCCAATCTACTGATAGTGACACTAACCTCAGCCCCGGATTTCACACGTGTATTGATGGTAGTGTCTTGATTAATCGGGAACACCATAGAGCTCTGTCACCCGTCAACGTGCAAGTATCAGAAATCAGTATCGCTTTTGATGTTCGGCTAACCAGTAACCTTATGCCTCTCTCTGAATTGTAGAGACGCACGGCGGCTTCTCAGCGAGCACGTTGCGTCCGCAATTCCTCCCTCATGGCACTTCATCGTCATCCAAGTCACCGCCGAATCCGAAGCTGAAGCCTCCCCCGCCGCTTGCTTCGGTATTTTGTACACCCACTGCCTCTTCCCACTTTCTCTTCTTCTGGCTGGTCTTCTTGTCCAAGTTTCGCATGGCATCTTCCAGCAGCTCTGGCTGGTCCAGGCGTAGCCGCTCGACAAACAGACCGTACGGGTCCGTTACTTCCTGCTTAAAGCCCGTGACTTGGTCTGCCTTGTCTCTCAGGAAACTCAAGACTTCTGTGAGCTGGTACAGAGAGGTGGATTTGGGCACAAAATTCTGTGTTAGTGCGATGCCGTTCTCCAAGTTGACGACCAAATGCCACCATCCGCTTGGTACATGCAAGATCTCGCCTTCCCTGCAAATGCCTTCAATGCAGCCTGGCTGCTGGCGCGCCTCATCATGAAACTCAAGGAGCCACTCAGCGATGCTGAGCGGGCTCGTCACTTCGCTGCTGTCGCTTGAAACGTAGACTCCTGGAACCTGTGCGGTAGGCGGGAACATGATCCAGTACTTGGTTCCCTGGATAACAGCGTTCCACGCGCTGGTGCCGTTAGGGTCTTTGTGAAAGGTTGATCCGCTCCTCTCGGGTCCGATGATGAGCCAGCGGTGGGCAGGCCGCTCCTTGCCAAGCAGTTCGAACAAGTCAGGCCCAAAGCACTCCGGCTTCCAATACGCCGCGCCTTCCTCATGGCCAACCTTGATTCCCATTTTCTCGGCAAACTTCTTGTCGAAGAGGTAAAGAGGGCTCTCGTCATTGCTGTTCTTCATGTATTCGTGATACGTCCAGAAAGGCCAGTCAACTGCTTCGGCGCGAAACTCGACATCCTTGTACTTTTGCAGAATGACATCTATGGTCCACTCATGACATACAGGCCATGTCTGGATGTAGCTGGTCAGAATAAACGGCACCTCAGTCCATTCCTGAGCAAACTCCTCGTAAGTCAGTATTTCCATACGCTGGATCTGATTACTCTTTGGAATCCTCGAGGCGAACTGCGTCAGGTCCACGTGGCTGCACACAAAGGGCCTATGCAGGACATCTGTGAAGACGTTACTGCAATCAATCTTGCATCGTTTCTCAGGTGACAGTCCAAGTTGAGTCGACCTCCAGGTGCCTTGCCACTTGCCGTCGAATCTGCCCGAATTGTGGGACCTAACCACCTGTTAGCCGGACCTTATTCACAACCAGGATGCTGTCAGCCAGAACACATCAGATGCGGCCATTCGGGTGGTCACTGTCCTTCCCATATTCAAAGTCATATGTGACCCCCATGACCACACTACCAGGTAAGATAAACAATTGATGACCAAAAAGCTCTCAGCGCCTTGTAGTCCCAAACTTGATAGTAAGGTGCCACCATTTATACTTTCGTAGAGGGCTGGCTAACAGCGAGTTGTGCCATGGACTTACTCGAGGAAAAGAGCCTTCCATAACTCGTCGGACTGGCAGAAGGCATAAAGAAACTTGCTGGTGTATCCGAGATTTCTCAAATTGCGTTGGTCAAGGTATTCCAGCAATATCATGAGAGCCTCATCGGGCAAGGTTGTGAAGACTCCGATGTGTTTCCGAGCGTTCGGACGATCCGAGAGATATTGGTTGCCCAGCGGTTTCACGCCCAAAGGATGAGTTGGAATTGACTCAGAGGTCATGACTGTATCCGCGAGAGGCTTTGAGTCACAGCCATGACCGTTGGTGTCAGCGTTGCCGTTGATCCTGTCATTGGACGAAAGTCCCTGGGTCGACACAAGGTTGTCGTTGGCCATGTTTCCTGCTGTAGGAGAAAGGCAGGAACAATAGCATGTGCCTGCTGCTAATAAAGCAAGCTAGACAGGCAGGTAGATCCTGCGGCGGGCGACGTTGGAGAAACTAAACGCAAGCAGATGGGCTGAAGAATGGGGGGGGAGTCAAGAGGCAGTGACAATGGAGAAAGAGACATGCGCTGCAAAACCTGCACCAAGAATCATGTCACTGGGCTAGCATCGCAGGCGCTGGTGGTACGAGTGGCGGGCACATGCTCCGGTAGAGATGTCTAGACGATTCAATTAATGCATGAAGATGCCTAGATGAAATTTTTGGGCAGGCATCCCGCCACACTGCGTCTGGGGGGCGGGACGCAGGAAAAAAAAAAAAAAAAAAAAAAAAAAAAAAAAAAAGTCAGAAGCCAGCCAGTCGTCCAGTTGCCGCCCTTGGTGCTCTGCAGTAGCTATCTCCGGTGTTCCCAGCGCGGCTCTCAACCAGTCCCAGGTGCCACCTTGGGCACTTCAGCCCATTCACTACGGTGGGCGTGCCCTAATCATGCCGCAGTGCAGCTATGGAGGGTACCAGCCTGCCCGCCAACTCCGTTAGCGCCACCTCGCTTACCGCATAATTCGAGGGGCCGCCCGCCGCCAGGAAATTTTTTACGTGGTCGAGAATTCTGGCAGCTCGCTGATAAAAACTTCACCTCCCACCGAACAATCAACGTGCACCGTCACCCCACGAACAACCAAACGCACTTTATTCCTAGATTCAGTTTCGCTCTTGCTTATCGCCAAGAGCATCTAATCTAGAAGAGAATTTAATTCTTAGACTTCGCTTCGTCTACATAATTCGCACGCTCCAACGAGACGTTTGCGAATTTTCCAGCCCCTCGCCCAACCCCACCTTCGCGACGATATTTCTAGGTCCCAAGCTGTGCTTGTGATCTAGATCTCTTCCAAAAACAACACCGCAATCATGGCTGACAAGGGTCTTGAGGACGTGCCTGAGGGTAAGTGATGCGACAGTTTTCTTCACCGTCGTTACCCGTCGCAGCGAGCCATCCCTGCGAATTTTGACGCTTGCCCACCAACACGACCATGGCCTCTTCCCCTCCTCTCTCGCATGTAGCGCATTCCAAGAGACTTCAAGTCGCTAACAACAATCTTCTTCGCAGGCCAGATCGAGTCCAACTATGACCAGA